TTAGATTGGAGATTCAAATAAATTAACGAATTCTCGTCTTTAAGCCCCTTAAAATTCTGGAATTTTACTGAATTTTCAGTGAAACCTGAAATTTCATGATTTTTTCCCCTAAATCGCATTCAGTGTCACTGTCCTGAAAATTGGTAGTCAACTGTCCATGAAATTTCATTTTTTTTTACCAGTGTTGGCATAATTGACGTTTTGCTAAACGTAAATTACATTTTGCTAAACGTAAAATACGGTTTGTTTAGGCTTAATTTACGTTTTGATAAACGTAAAATACGCTTCATTTAGGCGTAATGTACGTTTTGATGAACGTAAAATACACTTTGTTTAGGCGTAATTTACGTTTTTTTTTACCGTAAAATACGCTTTTTTAAAGCCTAAATTCCGATTTTCATGACGGAACAAAGTCACCAGACATCATATTGACGTTAAGCGTAAATGACGTTTATCAAAACGTAATTTACGTTTAGGTTTTTCTGTGTGTAATATCGGTAGACATGTAATTTAAGTCGATGTTTCATCCAACTCTTCTTACGTTCAGCTCCTGCAACCAAATTCTGTTATTTTCACAAGTTACGTTTATACCAAAACAGACCTTTTATTCAGTGAGATTTTCACGTTCAAATTGATTGGAGCATTTCTGGCAATGAGTGTACAATTTTTGGTTCTTCAGTTTGTTTTGTCATGTTGTCACCTAAGAGATATCTTGGACAGTTTTCCAAAGTGATTGAAATACTCTTGAAAAGCTATGTTCTATGAAAGAGAAAAAAATTACAATTTTTTGTCATTCATCAACTTAGCAGATAACACTCTCAGAAGCATAATTAGAGTTAGAGAAAAGATTCTACTATTAGTTTATAGTCCGCTAACTGAAAAGAAGTTGATCATCAAATAACCCTGCACAAAGAGAAAAGTTGGATAAAAATTACGTAACAAATCGTGATAAATTTTACTATACGAAAAAATTCAGTTTTTTAGTGGATATCTGACGATTTTCTTGGACACATCTATGGATGCAAAAATTATCCTCCTATTTAGTAAAATTTTCCACGCCGGTACACCCAGAAAAATGATTTATTTGATTCAAATGAAGTTTATTTGAATCAAATAAATAAGTTTATTCAAATAGTACCCAATAAAGGTTTTTTCAAAATTAAATGAAAAAATTTATTCAAAGTTTTGTTTATATTAAATAAATGTTTTTTTTTTAATTAATAAATCTTTATTTGATCCAAATGAATCCTGTATTTATACCAAATATACAGTTTTCTTATATTAAAAAAATTTCTTTATTTGAAGCAAATAAATTTTTTCTTTGAATTAAATAGATATTTATGATACTGAAAATTTATTATCGTTTTGAATTGGTAATAAAATCGAAGAAGATTGAACGAAAAACGTGCAATAATTATTAGGGGCTGTGCATACATCACTAAAGACATTTAGGAGCAGGGGGGGGGGGAATTTCTGTTCCAGGGTTTTACTATCAGGGAGGCGATGGTGAAAGAAGGTCATATGTACTGGAGTCAATAGTGTACTCAAAAATTGTATCATAATGAATGTAGAGACCTCGAATCATCCAGATTTAACGTTTACTAAATTGGGTTTATACGACCTTTTTCCACAATATTTAAGAAATTTGATTTTCTTAAAATAAGAACTGTTCATTTGAACTAAATAAATTGTTTCTTCGATAAAAAAAATCATTTATTTAAAATAAATAAATAATTTGTTTATTATAAGGAAATCCTCTTTCTTGAAATAAGTAAAAAGTTTCAAATAAAGATTTTTATTTGATTAAAAAAAAAACTTTTTTCTGGGTGTAGAGTACTTTTTGGTGTGTACCTATCTGAAGGTCATGGGGACGGACGGAAGTGAATTTTTGCCAAACGAGTTCGGTAAGAATTATTCTCTGCTACAGAAATAGTTATTTTCATCACCAGGCCGACAAAAACATTCCCATTATGCTGTGCGAAAAAGTAATTTTTTAGACACACTTTGCGTGCCTAAAACGCCCTTTTTCCACAAATTGTGATGAAAAATATCGTTCGATACTCATAGGAAAAGGATTTTTTTAGCTCGTGGGATTACAGTAGACTCTCCTTTATTCTCCCATTTCATAATTCGCACTCTACTCCCCTCGAGGCCTGCTTCTCCTCAAAATCCTCCTCCCACTCCTCATTTATCTTTTATCCTTCTCTGTGACATCATGCACTGCGCAGTGCGTAGGGGGTCACAGAAGGGTATGTTCCATTCCTCCCACTACCACGATCCGCCCCACCATTCCCGGCTTTTCCTTCTCTAACGCCGCCTGCACTGGCGGAGTGGGGGTCTCTCCTTTACTCGCATTTTACTTGAAATGGCTCCAAGGATACCCCCCGAGCTATGGGAATTAAGGAAAGTCCACTGTATATCATTCGTCTTCGGCTCGTGCTGTAAACTCCCACGAGGCAAAAAACACTTTTCCGCACTCGTATAGAAATATACTATTTCTGACGAGTGAGGGTTGCAGGCCGAGGTGAAGTCGAAAAATACAATCACACGAGTCAGAAAAGTTGTTTTGAGTGACAAACACAATTTCTCTTCACAATGTAAAATGTCGTTTTACGGACATTGTGAAATTATCTTCGTCCCTCGGCCGAAAACAACATGACAGGGTATGAAAAATTATATAAAAAGTTGGAGCAATTGTTCACGTTCACTGGAATAAATTTTGATGGGATGTAAGGTAAATCTTAGAGTTTAATCGTACACTTTTTCCCCTATTTAAGGGGAAAAATTACTGAAAATCGAGTTTGCTCCATGATTACTTCACTTGTTCGGTAATTTTTCTACGACTGTTTTCTGATTGTGATCATCAGTGATTTCTGCCATTGAAATTTAGTGATAGATTTCTAAAACGTAAAAATGGATCCCTGAAGATCAGTGATATTTTCCTGGAAAAATTAGTGAAAAATTGGTGGCAAAATGACTGAATTTTGCACTCCTTGATATTCACAATCGCGAAACGCTAATAATTGGGGATAGATTCCCAAAAATTAGTAACATGTCCTTAATAATTCGAGATGGATTCCTGAAAATCAGTGATATGTCCCTGAAACTAAAAATTTTTCTTTCTCTGTCAAAAATGTTGGGTTTCAAAGTTTCTCCATCAGTCTAAAAAAATGCAGAATTTTCATTGAACATGAAAGAATTCTATTTTTGGAAAATGAATAAGCATTCTTAAGGATATTATTGCGGGGCTAGGGGATATTTGAGAAAAGCAGAGAATTGAATGAAAATTCTTCAACACATTATTTAATCCACTCAGAAGTCGTGTGTAAAATATCAGAATTAATTTTGTGGACTTTGGCACTATTCTATTCTATATTCTTAACACCATTAATATCCAGAAATAGAGGGGAATTATCTGAATATAATGGACATTGCTTTGAATCCAATATTCAAAGTGACTGCTACTAAAATCTCCTGTTTTTAAAATGCGCTGTGAACATCGCGAAATTTTGCCATCTTTCTCTACTTGTGACATATTACCGAAATTGAGATTTCTCTAATGTTATAATACTCGAGATACAGTATATTTTCTTTCAACTGAAAGAGTCGTTGATTGGAAAGAATATTTGTTTGTTGTCAGAATTGAAGGCTGACAAAAAATATATTTACCGGAAATAACTTTTTCTTATCTCAATGTACGTTCTAGTTTAGGATTTATTTTGTCCCATTGTATTTCCTCTAGATGTCCCTCCTCCACATAAATAACTCTAAAAAATAGAAAAAAAAATTCCCACATCTGTGCTCTGCCGGCTTTCTAAAACATGAAAATAGTTACCCCTTTTTAATCGCTCCCTCTTTTTACCCCTTTTTTGAGACCCCTACGTACGAGAAAAAAAACTCCGCAGTCGTATCGATTTTTTTCAATACGTGTCGGTTGTTTTGAAAAAAACCGTTTTATGTCAGATTATTCGACTGTTGGGAAAAAAATTGAAATTTCCCGATAGTCTGATAGCAATTTTCAGTAGTAACATCCTAAGCATCAAGTGCTCGAAAATGATCGGTAAATACCGATATAGCTCCGTTGCATGCAAAGTAATATCTGAAATTTAGCAGGTTAAAAATTCCAAGTGACACAATCTTGTATACAGGGCGGCATGAGGTAAATACCAGATAGTAAAACAAATAGTGAGCGAAGTTCAAGCGAGATCCAACTCGTATATTTTTTTCAATTCAAGCTTATTTAATCTCTCCTGTACGGGGTCGATATGCCATGCATCGACCGATGAAAATAGGAATGACACGCTTTGAAATTGATTATTTCCAAAACTATGAAATTCATCTCAATCGAACAAATAACAACGAAAAAAGGAATACTGTAGCTTCGACTACATATCGGTTTAATAATTTTTCATTGATTAGAAGTCATTAGATTCTAGTTGTATTGAGCGTACTCCACACTTGGAAACAAAAGGGTCCCGTCCATGAGGGGTTAAACCTGAAGGCTTATATACGTGGATATGGCATTTGAAGGACAATTTTTAATCAGTATAATAGGGCAACGTGAGAATGTTATAAAAACTGAAAAGACACTAGTGATCACACGGATGGTATGCGGCTCCGGCGGTTATCCAAGCTTAGCCGCGTTTAGTCTGGTTAGTACTTGGATGGGTATACGGTTACCCCTAGGTACCCGCGTAGAGATCTACTGCATCCATCTAGGGTAACCTGACCAATAGGTAGACACCGACCAAAAGATAGACCTTTTATTGAATAAAAATTTTATTCAAATAAAATAAAATTAAATTGAAATGAAAATTAAATTGAAAGTGCAGTTTTTATTCACATATTTGCGTACATCTGTGAATAAAAACTGCACTGTTCAATCTAATTTTCAATATTAAGACTCATTTATAGTTATGAAATACTGAAATTATTTCGCCTAATCGACATTTTCAATGAGAAAAAAAATAAAATTGGTGCGAGGAACACCAGTTTACGTCTGTGGCGTTGTGCATTGTTAGGTCGGAGAAGTACAGTGTTGTTGTGATGATGAAAAAAGAATGTGTTAATGACAATTAAACACGGTATGTACACTATAATTATTATCAAAAAAGATTTTTCTCCAGATGGGAATGTAGAAAAACAAAAAGTTTTACTGAAAAATATGAAATATGAGTGTCCATCTCCGGATCCGAATTTCCTAACGTAAATCCCAGAAATGGTCAACCAGCCACGTGATAAGCTATTATAAGGCGTACTCAACTTTTTTCGTTGTTTTTCCGTTTATTTCAGAATCGAGTAATTTTATGAAAAAATGTCGAAAGATCTTTTTTGTAGATGAATAAATTTCAATTGAAAAAGGTCTGTTTAAACCCGCACGGAAGGAAAATATATGCGAATATATATATGGCATATATTTTAATCATATCACATATATTTCGGCCAAAAAATGCTGTATGTGGTATATATGTCACATATATGCGAAAATATACTCTGAAATATTTGTAAAAAATAAGTCATTTAGATGTCAAAATATATGTGAGATATATGTAGAATATATGTTACTATATATGTCCCTGATACCCACAACTTATAATCTACATATATGTGAGATGTGTGTAACATATACGTATGATATATATGTCGCATATATTTACAGGGTGTTCCACTGTTGAACGTACATACTGTGAGGGTAGCTAAGGAGCGTTATTTGGAATCAAGAGTCTAATGACTTTTTCACCTCGACGTTTCGTCAATGAGTCATAAAGTGAATAAAAAAGGACCGCCACTCAAAAAATTTGATTTATGGTGCCATCACAAGCGAAAACTCAATCGCTTTTATGTATACCATGGTTTTCTGTTAATACAGTAAATATTAAAAAGTTCCCAACAAAAAATAGCAATTTTCGTCACAAGGTTGGAAGAAACTTTTCGGACGAGTGTGAGGGTTGCAGACCGAAGCGAAGCCGAGGATTGCAATCACACGAGTCTGAAAAGTTTTTCCGACCGAGTGACAAAGCTAATTTTTCTTCACACTAACCGGCATTTGATAGACACGAAGTGTCCATCAAACGACATTTATGTCATTAGGCCCGATAAACCGCGATTCTAACCTCGTTTCGCTCGGTTCGATCGCGGTTTTCGGGCCCAATGACATAAAATATTGTATGTCACACGGCGATAAAAGTATTATCTGACAAATGTGATTATAATCCTCGCCTTTGGCTCGGATTATAAAGCCACATTCGCCAGATAATAATTTTATCGCCTGATGACATAATCTACTATTTATAGACAGTGTGATGAGAAAATCGCGGACTGAATTATTCAAAAAAAAAAAAAACATTAATTTTAGTAATTGCGACGCGTTATCAATAAACATGATGAGCAGAAATCACTTACAATGCGATAGGAAGAGTGTACCAAACTTGTACTCGATTATTCAACATTCAAGGCGGTGGAAAATTTCAAATCATGACCATGAGTGCTTACACAGATACACGGAAAACATCGTCGGAAGTAGCCTTGCGATCGCAAGATTTTTCCCAAAGATTCCTACGAGGGATGCGCCTCGGGTGAAAAAATTGGGGGAAATCCGATTTGACATCCATATTAATGAAGAATTGGTGAAACGATCTGATTGTAGACTGTTTCGGAAATGTCTCGCGTTCAATCATGAAAATTCCGAGAATTTTCGGAACTCTCCTTAATCAATTACAGTAGACTCCTGATGGAGTAACACGCACATGATTGTAGAAGAAGCGAATTATCACGTCACGCGGGTCACAAGAGAATGGTCAACTTTCACGACAGTTGAACCACACGAGGGTCACAACCAAACTATAAAATTTCACGAGAGCCAAACGTCACGAGGCTTACAAGAAGATGGTCGAATTTTACGAGAGTCAAAGGTCACGAGGGTCGAAAGGTGATGCTCAAATTTTTCGAGGGGCAAAGGTCGGGAATGTCACAAGAATGGTCAAATTTCACGAGAGCAAAACGTCATGAGGGTCACAAGGAGGTGGTCAAATTTTCTGAGGGTCAAACGTCACGAGGGTCACAAGGAGGTGGTCAAATTGTCTGACGGTTAATCGTTACGAGAGCCCCAAGGAGGTAGTCTAATTTCATGAGAGTCAAACCTCACGAGGGTCACAAAGAGATGATCAAATTTTATGAGGGTCAAATGGCACAAGGGTTACAATGGGACGATTAAATTTCACGAGAGTCAAATGTCACAAAGTTCACTACGAAAGGTCAAATTTTCCGAGAATCAAACGTCACGAAGGTCACATGGATGGTGAAATTTTACAAGAGTCAAGCGTCNCAATGACATAAAATATTGTATGTCACACGGCGATAAAAGTATTATCTGACAAATGTGATTATAATCCTCGCCTTTGGCTCGGATTATAAAGCCACATTCGCCAGATAATAATTTTATCGCCTGATGACATAATCTACTATTTATAGACAGTGTGATGAGAAAATCGCGGACTGAATTATTCAAAAAAAAAAAAAACATTAATTTTAGTAATTGCGACGCGTTATCAATAAACATGATGAGCAGAAATCACTTACAATGCGATAGGAAGAGTGTACCAAACTTGTACTCGATTATTCAACATTCAAGGCGGTGGAAAATTTCAAATCATGACCATGAGTGCTTACACAGATACACGGAAAACATCGTCGGAAGTAGCCTTGCGATCGCAAGATTTTTCCCAAAGATTCCTACGAGGGATGCGCCTCGGGTGAAAAAATTGGGGGAAATCCGATTTGACATCCATATTAATGAAGAATTGGTGAAACGATCTGATTGTAGACTGTTTCGGAAATGTCTCGCGTTCAATCATGAAAATTCCGAGAATTTTCGGAACTCTCCTTAATCAATTACAGTAGACTCCTGATGGAGTAACACGCACATGATTGTAGAAGAAGCGAATTATCACGTCACGCGGGTCACAAGAGAATGGTCAACTTTCACGACAGTTGAACCACACGAGGGTCACAACCAAACTATAAAATTTCACGAGAGCCAAACGTCACGAGGCTTACAAGAAGATGGTCGAATTTTACGAGAGTCAAAGGTCACGAGGGTCGAAAGGTGATGCTCAAATTTTTCGAGGGGCAAAGGTCGGGAATGTCACAAGAATGGTCAAATTTCACGAGAGCAAAACGTCATGAGGGTCACAAGGAGGTGGTCAAATTTTCTGAGGGTCAAACGTCACGAGGGTCACAAGGAGGTGGTCAAATTGTCTGACGGTTAATCGTTACGAGAGCCCCAAGGAGGTAGTCTAATTTCATGAGAGTCAAACCTCACGAGGGTCACAAAGAGATGATCAAATTTTATGAGGGTCAAATGGCACAAGGGTTACAATGGGACGATTAAATTTCACGAGAGTCAAATGTCACAAAGTTCACTACGAAAGGTCAAATTTTCCGAGAATCAAACGTCACGAAGGTCACATGGATGGTGAAATTTTACAAGAGTCAAGCGTCACGAGGGTTACAAGGAGACGGTCAATTTTCATGAGGATAAAGGAGACGGTGATTTTCACGAGGGTCCAACATCACAAGGGGATGAGCATTTACGATAGGGTCATACATCGCAAGGATTACAAGGGAATACGATGCCTAAATATATCAAGATGTTCAAAAGTCACAAGTCACAATTTCAGACACTCAATTGTAAGAAGAATCATGGTGTTGATTATTGAGATTTATTGAACTCTCTATGTGAGGCCCTTAGAAATTGAAAATATGACGTTCTCGTTGTGACCCTCGTTTGACCCTCGTCAAATCTGACTATCCTCTTGTGACCCTCGTGACGTTCGACTCTCGTCACATTTGACTATTCCCTTGTGACCATGGTGATGTTTAACCATCAAGAACCTTGACCCTCTCCCGGTAACCCTCGTGACCTTTGACTCTCGTGAAATTTGACCATCTTCTCATCTCTCTTCTCTTGACTCGTGATATTCGAACCTCGTAAAATTTCATCACTCATATGACTGTAGTAAAATTTTACTCTCGTGAAATTTGACCGTCTCCTTGTAACCCTCGCAAGGTTTGACTCTCTTGAAATCTGATCATTCTCTTGTGACCTCCGTGATGTTCGACACTCGTGCAATTTGATCATCTTCTTGTGACCCTCATGACGTTTGACCGTCAGAAAATTTGACCATCTCCTTATAACCCTCGTGACTTTTGACTCTCGTGAAATCGAACCATCCATTTTTGATTCCCGTAACGTTTGACCTTCAGAAAATTTGACAATTTCTTTGTGGGGCTTGTGTCGTTTGTTGATTAAATTCATGAATTTGTTTCTGAGATACAAATATTTTTTTCAACTTCAAATCGATCCATTTTGTTCCGAACCTTCTATTTGTAATTTCTGTAGCCTCGAAGGGATTTGATTTCGTCGCATTGAATAATTTCTTGCCTTCCCCAGTCATTTTACCGGGTTTCTCGAGTTTTACCGTATATTCAATCCTGTAGAAATTTCGTATAATTGACTGTGAAGAGGATATTTTTTGGTTCAGCACAGGGAAAATGACGGAGTTATTGACCTTATGAACTCTCCCGGGAAAATACCGGTGGCACACCAGATTTTATTCGTACCTTTTTTCCGTATACAAGTACTTTTTTTCCCTTTCATTTATTCAATATCCAAAAGTGAATATCATGAGTGTCAAGTGCTAAAAATATGAACTAAGTAAAGAGACGTTTCTGCTTTCCGGTAATAATCATTGGATTTTAGCACTCTGTGCATACTAAGAAAAAAATTTTTTTTGAGAAGTGCGTTTTTAGCTCTGTCAAGAGATTCATAGCAAAAAAATTTTCAAGCGCAAAATAGTTTGCACACACAAGGAACACTACGGAGGTGTCCCCCTCCGATTTTGATGAAACTTATATATGTTATAGGGGACTAAAAATTAAGGGACACGTATTTTTTCTTAGCGGCCCATACGCGAGTTTAGGGGTGGATATGCTCTCTGAAGTTGACCACCCGTCGGGGTGATTTTTCAATTGCACTTATAAGGAGGCTATTTGGACAAATATTTTGCAGTGTAAAATGAACCTC